CAGACAGATAGACAGACAGATAGATAGATAGATAGATAGATAGATAGATAGATAGATAGATAGATAGATAGATAGATAGATAGATAGACAAACACTAGACTTGTATGAATATAGTATACTATATTTTTACATAATATTTATCCACATATTACACAATTTTACATCCCCCTATCCCTGCCCTTGCTCTTTTTCTGTTATACCCTCACCCCATACCACCCACTCAACCCCGTCCCACCCCGTTCCTCCCCACCCCACTCCACCCCACTTCTCCCCGCCCCATCCACCCCGCCCTACCCTCACTTTCAGGCTCACAACTGAGTCCGTACAACCTAACGTTGATGCCAAACATAGACTTCACCACCTCCGGACGCGCGCATCGCCTGAGGACGGTCCTCAAGGAGTTAAACATCCTTCGGTCAGTTGTTCCTTCACCAGGCTCTCGGACTCGCAACCGTAAGATCGCGGGTTCGAATCCCGTCAGGGGTCAGCCGTTGGGTACTTGGGAAAGGTGCTTTGCACAAATGTTCCTCTTCACTCTGGCGGAAATGGGTACCCGGCGATCGGCAGTGAAAGATCTTTTCAGTTTTTGTGTGTTCTACTTCTTGTGCGTGAAATCTGCAGCTTGCACTGTATGCTTCTCGTGTAGCCGAGAATTTGTCTGGGTGTTCTAGGGTTCTGCTGGTGTTATAATACATGTACATGTTGTTGTAAAGCGTATAGAGCATGCAGTAGAGCGTGTGCGCCATATAAATGCAAACCTCGTACTACAATAATTTTGACGCGGGGTGGGCACTCCGCTGATTTTTCAGTATTTATGGACTGTTCATCGTCATTTTTAACCAAGCCAGCTTGACTTTATCCGGCTCAATCTATCTGGAAGATTAAAAACCACAAAAAATGTTTTAACGTTTGTCTCTTAAGTTGTGTCACATAAAGTAATATTAATTCTCTCGTGCGGCACAAGGTGTGGCTCGGGGCACACGGGGAATAATCCAGTTAGTTTAGAAATGTGTTTTCACCCCTACCCTCGTCCACCTTTCCAACATAATAAGTATATAAATAAACAAATAATTGGATTACTATAGATGAAAAGGAGAAAGAAACGTAAATTATGTTACTGGCTAGAAAGAAAGAAAGAAAGAAAGAAAGAAAGACAGACAGACAGACAGACAGACAGACAGACAGACAGACAGACAGACAGACAGAAAAAAGAAAGCCAGAAAGAAAGAAAAAAAGAAAAGTTACCGGCTTGCATCTGAATACTTATTCTTTCATCTTCTCTAGTATCGACCTACTTATAGGTCACAGTGCTGGTGCCTGGGTAGTGTATGAGGCCATCGCCGGAGGTTTGCGGGTCGGATCTCTCTTCTTGTTCAGCCCAAATGGTGCCGAGCCTAACAGGTGACTAAGCTTACACCCGTTAAAAAAATGACCAAATATTTTGTCAAAACGCTGTTATATTGTAGCGTACTATTGAGGGCAGTCAGATTTTTCTTCAGATTAGGGCAAACGCTCACCTCTTCAGGTGGAAAGTGGAAAGAGGGGGAGGGGGCGGCTTATAGTTTAAATATGGGTGGGGGGGGGGGGCTTCAAATATCTTTTAAATGGGAGAATCAATGCTAGGCATACTCTGCACAGCAGTTTGTATATCTGTTGTTCTTTTCTTTTTCATCCTCTGTTGCCGTTAAGCGTCGGGGGGAAATGCAGTTTTCTATGGTAGGCCAGCTCCGCAGCTCTTTCAGTTGTGATGTTATGTTTTCTTAGGGTTTCCTTAACACCCTCGATCCACCTTTTGCGTGGTCTTCCTCTTCATTTATAGCCCGAGTGCTTGGTGCTGTAGGCTCTCGAGGCTGGCTGGTCAGGTGACATGCGTAACAGGTGGACAAACCATTTTATTCCTCTGTCTTTCTATGTAACGCAGGTAGGACTCAGTGCCGACAGCTGCTCTTACTTTTTCATTTCTCTGCCTGTCTCATCTTGTGATGTTAAGGGTTTTGTGGAGACATTTCATTTCTCATGCGGTGGTTTTGCTTTCATGGGTTTTGCTTAAAGTCCAGGTCTCGCACTGATAACAAAATGTTGGTATGAATATTGAGGTGGTAAACTGTCTGTTTGTCTCCATGGAGATGTTTGGGTGAAATAGGTGGGGTGCGAGCTGGTAGGTGACAGCGTTGGCTTTTTGAATTCGCATTTCTATTTCTCTGTCTGTGGACCCGTTTTCAGAAAAAGTGCTGCCAAGATATTTAAACTCCTTCACCTGTTTTAGTTGTTTACTATTGACATGGATGTTCAGGGGACTATGGTTTCGGCTCACTTAAATAACTTCTGTTTTTGATGTGCTTATTTTCATGTTGAATTTCTCACAGCGGTTGTTGAGTTCGGTAGTGTGAATTTGGAGGCTTTGTTGGTCATGATGAATAAGACATTGGTCGTCTGCGAACTGAAATTCATTTAGGCTTTCTGGGCTTTGGTTTGCGTCTTGTGTTAATTTGTCCCTATATACATGTATTATAAACAGGAGGGGAGATAGAACGCACCCCTGTCGTACTCCAGATCTTACTTTGAACCAGTCTGTATTGCCTGCCTTCGTTCTTACTGAGCTTCTGCTGTTGGTATATAGAGCTCTGACATTATCTAACATTTGTCCTCTGACGCCATACTTTTCGAGTGTCTTCCAGAGTTTTGCATGGTTTACTCTGCCAAAAGCCTTCTCCTGGTCTATAAAGACGATGTTGGATGCTTCGTTGTGTTCGACTGTTTTCTCACATATCAGTCGTAATGCGAATACAGCATCCCGGCATCCTCTTCACTTTCGGAATCCAGACTGAGCTTGGCTCAGATTTCTCTCTACGACAGGTCTTATGCGCTGCTCTAGTATCTTTGCGTATATTTTCCCTGAGTGGCTAAAGAAGGAGATGCCTCTGTATGTTGTGCAGTCGCGTTTGTTGCCTTTTTTTCCATAATGGTACCACTATGGCTTTCTGCCAGCCTTCTGGGCATTTTCTTTGCTCCCAGGCTTTGTTGAAAATTCGCTTCAGCCACAGTATACCGGTGTTCCCACAAGCTCTTATGGCTTCCGCTGTGATGTCATCTGATCCTGGGGCTTTGTTCATGGGGTTGGTCTTGAGTGCCTTTTCTATTTCACTGGGAAGTATTGGTGGATCTGTTTGATCTCCATATGATGGTTAGAACTCTTCTTTCTGTCCGTGGCAAGCGTCTGGGTTGAGTAGTTCTTGGAAGTAATTTTCCCATCTTTTCTTAATGGCATGTTTGCCGAGAATGGCATTTCCCTCTTTGTCGTTTACAATGCATTTCGAGTTGTATTGGTCTTTCCTTGCCCGCATGCTCTTCACATTTTTATAAAATTCTCTTGGGCTTTCCTTGCAGATTTTGGTCAGTTTTTCCCCATATATTTTCCATGCATTTTCTTCAGCAGTTTTGATGATTCTGTTGGTCTCTCTTCTCGTTTTCCTGTATTCTATATAGTCTTCTTCGGTCTTTGACTTCTGCCATTTCTTGAATGTCTTCTTTTTTATTTTAATTGTTTCTTTGGTTGCACCATTCCACCAGCATGTTGTTCTGCCTTTGTTTCCACCTATTTGTTTGGTACCACCGCTGTTTTTCAGTATTTCTGACAGGGATTTTTTGAATATTTGCCATTCGTCTTCTATCTCTTTGATCTCATATGACAGTTTATTGTACTCCTTGGTAATGTCATCCTCGGCTGCTTTCTTGATGTCTGGTTATTTGTACAATCTTAATAGATTATCACAAACAACTTTCAATGGGCAAAATTCAAAATTTCCTACCAACTGAAAATGTATAAAGTGTAACGTGAGCTCATATGACTTTATGCAGTTGTGAGGGCCGTAAAACATTTACACACAAAAAAAGAAGAAGCCTGTGTCACGTTAGGCTTTTAAGCGATTATCAAAGATTCGGTTAATGTTTGTTTAGAATCTTCCGTTGTGTAAATCTAATATTACACCAGATCACCAGATTGCCATTTCCTGGAAACGAACCTGAGTCGCCTCACTGAAGACTAGAGTTTTTACCAATGACAGCTTCTCAAAAATGTGGGTTCATATTATGTAAAGACAGGTTTTTTTTCAGCACATTTAATTTTAATTTCATATATAATGTGAAGGCAGTACAGCACATCTTCCCCCCCCCCTCTCTCTCTCTCTCTCTCTCTCTCTCTCTCTCTCTCTCTCTCTCTCTCTCT